CTATCGATCTTATACGCTTGAGGGCACGCCCAGAGCATGTTACGCAGAATCCGGTCGTAAACTTTCTTCAGGTAAACAAACTACGTGTAAACCAACTGAGAGAATTTTCATAATTTTAATAATTGGCGGTAATGCAATGAGCCGGTCAGTGGTGCCTTAGTTTGACATGAAGACACGCTGCTCTTCTTGCATTTTGCAGTCAGTTATTCCGCTGCATTTTCTTTCTAACACATTTTCGTAGGCCTTTCTTCAGAACCTCAATAAGGTAATGCCTCGATATTTAGAGCAGTCCATACTTTCTCCCATTTTTAGCAGGAGTATCAACACTCCAATTCTTTATTCCAGGATGTGTTAGATACAATATGCCTTGATCGCTTAAAGCTTTAAACATCTCACAGCGGATCTCATCGATTCCATCAGCCTTGCATCTTTTCAAGCCTCTTGTACTTTCAGTGACTTCGGCTATTGAAAAGCTAATATCTGTTGCCTACCCCTCTTCACGCGACGCTCTTCCCGCTGTTGCTCAGGATTCAGGAGTTTCTCAAACTACTTTCTTCGTCGCTGAATCACACACATCCTCTTCCTTGATAAGAAGGCGCCCACACTTGTACTTCAGGACTCTCAGACTGCCCTTCTTATCACCTCGAAGCTCACGGTTGATCTGCCAGAACATTTTATTGCCGTGTAGAAATTCGACTCCAACACCTCATCGAACCTCTCCCAGGATTCATCTTTGGCGTCCGCAACTGCTTTCGCTCTAGCCTTGAGCGCTTCTAGAAATCGGATGCAGTTTGAAAGGCTTTTGCTTCTTAGTAATTTTTTGATTGACAACCAATTGTACCCTTTATGTTCATCAGAAAGAAAGTTTGCTTCTGACCCTCAAACGGCAGTCCAGTTCATTCTAAAAACCGGCATTCGGCAGCAGCTTTGAGTAAACAGTTCTTAAACAGCCTCCACTCAGTAATTGCATCAAAGTCCTCACCGGGATCTCTTCAAACCGTCGCGCGAAATTCAAAGCGTTATCAAGTTTCGTCTTGTATGCGCAGAATATGATGCTCTCCATTTGATTCTCTAATTGCTTCAGAGAGCAGAAGGTCCAGGAGACGGCCAAGATTAATCTGGTACAAATATATGGAAAGAGTCTGTTGCAGACTCCAGCTGTTCCAGACTCCAGTTGTCTTCTGCCGAAGCTCAGACTCTGGCACAGGATCGGGAGCGTTGGAAGCTCTGTCTGACGCGACTGAAAGGAGAAGCGGCCATGGAAGATGAAGTTGCTTCTGCCGCTATATCTTGGGAGGGTGCTTCTGCGCCTTTCTTACCGTGAACATCCATTACAGAGGTTCATTATCAAATCGATCATCGACTTACGTGCACAGTCTTCCCTATACCACGTAATCATATGCGCTTTTCCATGCTCGAGGAAGCTGTTCATAACAGGCAGTCCGCTG